AGGGGGAGGGGGAGGGAGGGGGCGCGGAGGAAACTTTGTTACAACATGGAGTTTCCTCCCCGCGAGGCGGATGCAAACATGGAACCCGGGCGCTGTTTCAAGGCTCCCCCTTAAAAGGGCAACGGCTTCGGCGTGACCTGGACTCGGCCGCGGCTTTCATCACTTCTGGGGCCCGCACGGCTCCGCCGGCGGGGAGGCGGGCCGAGCCGGGTTCCTGCCGCGATCCGGGGGGCGTCCCCTCCCTTCCTGCCGCTGGCTGGCGGGACAGAGCCTCTGCGGCTGCGTGGCACAGCCAGCACCCGGCCCACGGTGCCAGGCCTCCGAATGCCCGGAGACAAGGCCCGCCCCGCCCGCTCCGAGTGCCCGAGGGCGGCGCGGTTCCACCCTGTGCTCCTACGAGGGCCAGGGACTTGCCACTCCTCGGTTTGCTCATCTGGAAAATGGGATAACACTAACTTATCTGTTAAATGGGTCTTGTTTTCTGTCTGACGTTCGCAGGAACCTCCTTGCAGAGATGTCTGGAAGGAGCACTTGAAATCTCTTTGCCCGGACAGCTGTGCAAATCCACAAAATTACGTTCTGGATTTGACTGTGTCACCACCCACCGCGGTCTCGGGGCGAGGAGATCGGGTCCGGAGAGTGAAAATTCCAACTTCCTTCCCCCGGGGACGCTGTCTGCCGACCTTTTCCGACTGCTCAACTTATGTCCCGCACCCTACCAGCTTCGCCTTCCCGCCTGGAGGCGCTCTCCCCTCCTCCGCCTCGCCCACCGACCTAGAGAAAATGCCACCGTGTCCAAGGGCCTTGCCTGATCCCCTTCCCCCGCCGACGGCCATTCTTATTATTGGAGGGTGCGGGTTCCTGGGACAGGCTCGTTCCCAAGTGTCCAGCCTGACGCCCCGTGCATAGTGCACTCCGCGCGGGACCGCGGGGACTCAGACATCACAGTTACAGGCGTTTAAACACACTGTCCCCGGCTCTGTGGGGACACACCCCAGCCACGCGGGTTCTTGCGGGAAACCTCCGTGCGCGCGCCAAGAGGTGTGCGGGTCCTTTTTTCCCGGTTACTAAGTTCCTCCCATCCCTAGTTACTATTCGGGGTTCACAATTTAAAAAATAACCCGAGCCTCGACAACACGCCTCGGCACTTCCTCCCCT